CATCCATCCATCCATCCATCCATCCATCCATCCATCCATCCATCCATCCATCCATCCATCCATCCATCCATCCATCCATTATAATTTCAGACAGCTGTATCTTTCATATCGAAAGGCTAAAACCCACCAAACATGTTATGAGTCATCCATGCTTCATGCCCGACCATACCATGGGGTCATATGACATCATCAAAGCCCCGCCCCCTGACAACAGGAAGTGACATTTTCTTGGCTTGGAAAGCTTCACCTCTGACCCTCTTGACCTAATCATCAACAAATTGTTTCAGAACACAGATCATAGGTTGATCTCACTTACTTTCAAGCACAAACACTTTTTGGTGAAAGGCGTGGCCATGGCAGTGCAGTGAAGTCAGACATCACATCTGTGACATACGTTTGGCTCTAAATCCCACATATTTCAGCAAATCAACACCAAATTCACTTTGTTTGATCCTAATCTACTCCACTACAGAAATGCAGTACCAATTTTGGGGGGCATGGGCTATTTCCTCCACAGCACCCYCTACAATTATTTTAAAAATCAGCCCCAAGCCATTCAGACCTGGAATCATAAAATTCGGTACACATGTGTATCTCAGGACCTAAAAAACTTTCTTTGAGACATGATCCAAACTCCACAGGAAGTCGACCTTTTTGGATCAGAGCTGTCAATTTGTCTCTTTTCTTGCACATGTATCTGAGCTAACTCCCCCTACAGCTTTGAACATGCAGACTTCACATGCTGCACGCTTCTCTCAACACTGACTGGTGGCGGGATGGTGTGGGTGTGGCAGAGTGGCAAATGATTACGTCTCGCCGTTTGCACACGGTTAGCTGTAAATCACACATACATGATCAGATCTGAACCAAAGTTTGTGTGCGCATCATCGAGAGACCTGCAAGATCACTTTAGCCCCTTGTTCGTCTGTCCGTCTGTTCATCTTATGAGATTATTTAAATAATGAAAGCCTGAGCTGATTCCAACAAAACTGCCAACAGTTGGTCACTACTGAAAGATGACGGTTGGCGTCGAGTTCTATCTTGTTAATACTTAAGACTGTAAATTAATCATCAAAATGAAAAAATAAGTAGGTTCTCTTGATGGGTTCTTGAGAGAGGAGTAAGGGAAGCCATCTTTGTGAAGAAAAACCGTCCACCATTAAACAGAAGTGGAGGCCTTCATGTCCAGTTGTCCTCCTCCTACAACGCTGTCATTGCAAGTTTGACTCAGCCCCTGTGAGCAAAAGTTGTGAATCAGGGCCCCAACGATACCAACACAAATATGAAAAGAGAGACAAAAACAAGGAGACTTTGAGCCCCGCCTGTATTCACTACATTCACATAATATGACACGGGTCAGGTGATGGGGCACATGACCCTCTATGAGACATTACATTACTTTATTTTCTTTTTGTTCTATGTTAATCTTGATTGTCAATTATTATGTGACGTGTGCTGCTGACCTCTTGTCCAGGTCACCCTTGAAAAAGAGATCTTGATCTCAACGGGCTCTACCTGGTTAAATAAAGGTGATTGATTGATTGATTGATTGATTGATTGATTGATTGATTGATTGATTGATTGATTGATTGATTGATTGATATGAACAATAGAGCCAATCAAGCCTATTGT